TCCAACTTCAACGAGTGGTACGTCTGAGGATGCCCACCGCCCTGGCCGGCCGCCGCTCTGCCCAGCAGATCTTTGGAGGTGAAGCCGCCGAGAGCTCTCTGGCGCCTTCCCCATCTTTTTTCTCTTCCCCCCCCCCTTTTGTTTGGATTGGGACATCGTGATGCAGCGAAAGAGAGAGACAGAGAGAGTAAAAATCTTTTTAAAAAAAGAAATGAAAAGGGAGGATTAAAAACAGCAGCCGCAAAAGGCTTTTTCACCCTCCAAGATACATACATCCGCTGCCTCCAAGGCCTTGCAAACATTCAGCCTAGGAGAGCACCCCCTCCTTTGCCTCCGGGGCTTTGGGAACAAAGGATCAGACACACAGAAGAACCAGCTTTCTTCCTGGTCTGCCCCAGCAGCAGCAGCAGCAGCAGCAACAGCAGCAGCATCCCACCGAAATCTGTAAGTGTACATAGAGGAAGCTGAAGTGGTAATCAAAGTTTTCATGATGTATTGAGAGATTGGTCCACTTTGTGAACTTGGAGATTGGATTCTCCTCCCCCCCAACTCCTTCTTTATGAGTTCCTCCTGTCCTAGAACTTATGTGCACCCTCTCTGCAGCCTCTCTTCTCTTGCTCTTTCTCTTCTTTTTTCTATCCTTAATTCACCCATTACAAAAGGGGAGGGGGGGGAAAGTAACTGTGGAAGCAAATGGTTTTTTTTTTTTTTTGTAACTGTGGTATTGAATATTGTGTTCCTTTTGAAAAGAGGCAACTTTGATTGTAAACTTCATTCAACTATAGACTGGAAAGATTTTTTTAAAAACGTGCCAAAGTCTTCATGCTGTTCTTTGAAATAACCCAGATCAATTCCTCCTCCTCTTCCTACGCTTGTGAATGTATTTTCTGTTAGCTGGGTTTGACATGTGATGTTTTAGTGCTTTTTGCAAGTTCTATTTGTTAGCTCCCATTTGGAAGTTTGTGGGGAGGGGGAAGGGAAATAAACGTAGTGCCATTAGGGTTTTCCCTCCATAATAACACCCTTCCTTGTGTAAATACTTGTTGCCATATTTATCCATTTGTAATTAAATTATGGTATTCACTTGCTACAGAGGAAACAGTATTTATAAAGAATGTTTCTTAACTATAAATATGTACAATTGTGAGCATAAACTGGTTCAGAATTTTTTTATTTGAAGGTTTATGTGGTTTCATCATTTCTTGTGATATGTTTTTTTTGAGAGTAATGCATACAGAAATATAATAAAATGTGTTGAAACTGCAGTTCCGGATATTTCTCCCCTCCTAAGTTTTTATTTTTTGATATTTCAGGTGTTCTTATCTTGGTGAGGATGCGCCTAAAATGGAATAATCAAAGTCTTTCTAAATATATTCTTAAATATATATATACTGAAAATAACCCAAGACTACAGATTATATAAAAACATTGTTTTCTTTGTTTTCTTTAGCTAAACCATTTTAAAACATCTTCATAATTTTGTATTGAAGTATGGGTTTGCAAAGCGCATTTAAAATAAAAAACCAAACTTGTAGCCTGCAGTCCTATGTACACTTGCTTAGCACTCAGTCTTGATCACACTGAGCCGTAACCCTTTTATCTGCACATGTTTATATTGCACAGAACCTCAAGTGGATCTTGTGCCAGATTTTGCAGCAATGAACACTTTAAAGTGTTTCATTTAAACAGTTATGCAGAGGTTTCTCATCCTTCCTGTTGAAAATCAGTTGGAATAGAAATGCATGTTACATTTAATCTATGTATTTTAATTTAAATTATATTTAAGATTCATACCATTCTAGAATATCAATATCTATGCTATCAGTCCTTTGATTTTTAAAAATACCTATCCTAGACTCCCCCAAGAAACCACATTTTTATGCATTGATGTTTGTCTTTTACCTCTTATGTTAAGGTTTGTTCTTCTGCAGAAATTAACATTCTTTGTTTGTTGGATTATGGTAGTGGTAATATTTTAAATCCAGGGGCAAACCCCTATGTTTCTCACTAAGAGCATAATTTCTGAAGAATATGAAACATATCTTCCTTCATTTGAATTCGAGTCAACCCTGAATCTGCAAAAAATGTAAGAACCAAGAACATGTAAAGTTTGAGAGGATTATATCATTTGCTAGATACGTAAAAAGCTACACTCCCTCCTCCTGAAATTTACCGACAACCTATATACATAGCTGTCTAAATATAAGATTATATTTAACATGGGTGGAAATATTTAGGGTGGGTTTTGTTGTAGTTTTTAAGAACAATGGCCCACATCAAACGCTACTACTTTAAGTTTTCGTAAATTTAAGTAAATTCGCCTTCATCTGCAAGCGTTTTAAAGAGGATGATTTTTAAAGGCAGCTTTCTAGGAATTTGGAGGTGGAACTCTGGGCTGTGTCGACTCAAAACCTTCGAAAGCCTGGCCTGCACCCAAAATCTGGTGCCAGACACCTGGGCACCAAAAAGAGGCACGCATTGCCCCTCCCCTTTCCAAACCTCGCAGAAGTGTGCTTCTGGCATTCCCCGAAAGCTCTGCAGCGCCAGCCAAAACTCTTGCAAAAGACACATTTTCCTCTCCTGCACAGTCGCTTGTTTGCATTGCACTCCATCCAAGCCTCGCACCCCCTTTGGAATTTATATTAGCAGCGCTCTGTCCCTCAATGTCAGGACAGAAAAAAGTACATTGGGTCGCAATCCTAGCCTCAGTGACTAACGTGGGTAGCTATTCCCATGAAGCTTCAGAGTAAGTTAGTGCCCTGGCAATAAAGCCCAGAGTCTGGCTGATGATAAGCTTTTAGCCTGCAGCGGTGTTTCGGCGATCAGATGATGTGACGGCGTTTCTGCCTGGAAGAAGTGGCAACGCATACGCACACATTCACGGGAGCCAAATTTTCTCTTTGGCTCTCCAGATTTTAACTCCCTCCTGCGATTCGAGAAAGACCTGGCAAGCTTCGTTCCGTTTGCTCTTTGGAGCTCGCCCTGCTTTCATTCATTCATTCACCCTTCCGTCCATTCATTCTTGTCTGACTAATGTAAAAAACCCTGACGCAATCAAATGGCTGTTAAAATCTCATTTCCCTCCCTTAATAATATTAGCCCCCCCCCATTTTATTAAAATAATTAGCTTACGCCACTGATTCCCTGAGAGAGATCGTACTGGCGAGGAAATTTCAGCAAGGTCGGTGGGAAGGGTGACACCGTACCCAGGAACCCTCAAAAAGCGGTGGGTTGAAACAGGGTGATCTGTTTGCTGGTTGGTTTGCTTGTCTCAATCGCTCAGTCTCCATTGCCAGTCCTTTTTGGCTGTTTAGTCCAAACTCAGAGTGGTTTTGAGATGGAGCGGGGGGGGGGGGGAGGGAGAGAGGACAGGAGACGCCAAAATTCTTCTACAGAGCTCTGCCTGCCTTCCTTCTTTCCCTTTTATGAAAAATGCCTTCCAGAAACCTCGAGGAAGTATTCCCGGCGGAAAGTTTCGGAAGAGCAATCCTTTAGGAGCCATGCCTTCGGAAGCCGCTCGCGGCTCGGTTTCTCCTCGCCAGGCGCAAGGGGTTTGGCCTGAGCTTGGTAACTCGTCTTTCCAAGCCGGATGCACGCGGCCTCTGCTAGTCCTCCGTTCCCACCGCCGATCCAGCCCTTTGCAAAAGCTCGGCGAGCCATTCCCTCTTGTCGAGAAGTCTCGCTCACCCATTTCGCCGTCGCCCTGGGCGAGACACCGCTGGCGGGGAAAAACACAAGCCCAAGGCAGCTCTTGGTGTAAGTGGGGCGCTCGGAGCCGAAGCCCTCCCGGTAGCCTGACACCAGATGCATTTCTCTCCCCCCCCAGGAAAGACCCAGGAGAGGGCAGGGAGAGGGTCTTTGGCATCCTTCTGTTTCTCCCTTGCTCCGCTCCCCCGCCTTCTCTTACTTAGGCTTGCCTTGAACTTGAACTTGAGCTGTCCTTGGCTGTGACCAGCCCCTCCGTTTCCCCGGGATCCACGAGTAATCGGGTTTTTCGGGAACAGCTTTAGAAACGTGCGGCTAAGGCGGCATGGATGGGAAAGTGTGGAGGTCGGCGTAGCTGTAATGCAACAGAGACACAAATAAAACAGACCGAAGAGGGCTCCAATACTCGTATCTCCTGTATAATGCATGACGGAGCACAGATCTAGAATGTTTAATAGAACATAGTATAAATAATAGAATGCAAAATGCAGACCCATGTAAGGAGGGGGGAGGGGATCTTGAAAGAGCCGCAGGCGGGGGAGGGGGCTTCCCGGACACATCCAGCTCTAGTAGAGGATCTTTCACCTGCCTTCAGTCCCGGCGTGTAAAGCTGCGCTGACCCTGAATCCAGGAGATCTACCGCACTGGTTTATCGGAGGCTGCAATCTTTCGGACTCTTACTTTGGAGTAAGCCTCACTGAACTCCATGAAACTTATGTCCTAGTAGAAGTGGATGGGAATGTGGGTTCTGTGCTGGTGAAGGGGCGGTTCAAGGACTCCCCAGGGCAAAGATATATACAGAAATGGATGGAATACATTGTGTCCGTGTCCTCCCCCCCAGGCGCTGTCCCACAAACACGGTTTTCGCTCGTCTTCACAATCCTGCTCTTCCTAGCAACACCCAGTTGAACTTGTCTTCCAGATCCATTTTGATTTTGTCCAGACCTGCCCCCTCCCCATGTCACCTTGTTTTCGACAAAAACGGACGGGGATTACGACAACAGCAGTAGCCACTAGTAGCTGTAACAACATCCCATGTCCCAACAGTCCTCGCCAACTTGCACTATTGCGAGATAACAACAAACATTTCGGGATATCAAACCGGACGTAGTTAGTATGCCGCTTCACGTAGGAACACGTCGTTCCAGCAAAAGCAAGGGCGCCTAGGGAGAACTGGCAATGTTTTAAGCTCTGAAAGAAAGGCCGGATGGAGTCTCACTGGCATGGAGACCCGCGGTGCGTATCTGCAGCAGCGCCGCCTACACTCTTCCCCCGGATCTCTCTTTGCCAGTCCACATCTTCGCTCCAAAAAGAAGTGGGTGCTTCCCTCTTCACTCACCATCCATAGCCCAGTCCTTGGAGGCCCCTCTCTTCACAACCTGAGGAGAAGAGTGTGTGTGCCCGCCTTTATTTTATTTTATTGTCTTGCTTTAAAGGGTAAAAGGATCATTTGGACATCACAACGACGCAAAAGAACAAAGTGCAGGTAGAAGGGCAGCTCTCTTAAAACCGGCGAGGCCTTCTTGTCTCTGTTTCAAGCCTCACGGAAGTGCGTGACAAGGAGGTTCTCCAGACTTAAAGCAATCTAGTTCTGCATTCCAGTTTTCGATGCCCTCGTTTAAAATTTAGCTGCAGCTTAAAATGCCCAGAGCGACGCTATCAGGGTTGATTGGGAGGTAAGACAGTCCCTTTTTTTTTGTCCAGGGGGGGCACTCTTTCAGCCAAGCATGATCTGCAGATTTGAGACCTTCGGCGGACTCACACAAAGGATGTCCAAACCAGGATCTGTTTCAGGAATACGTGACCGGAAGTGATTTAATTTCTTTGATGTTGGGTACCTTTGCTAGGAAAGAATTCCCGTGGGTTTCAGCGGCACTTCGTTCCTACTCAGGGTCTTTCCGGCTTTGTTTCTTGTTCCATGGGACTCCCCAAGTCGATATGATCTCTAGAGCGCCCCCCCCCCCAACAAGCCGGGGCCGGATCCATTTTAGGTGGATCTCTACATAAGATCCACCTAAAATTGACAATTTTTAAGACCAAGGAGTCGCAATGGGAGAAATGTTTGCTCCTTAGCATGGGCTCTGCTAACATAAATGGGATTTCGAACTGCTTAGCATTGGCGGGCAGGTGCTGCGTTCTCCACCTCTTTGCCTGCAGTGGCCTGTGTATGTAGGGCAACCGGTAAATTTTAAAACAATTAATTTTAAAACAATTTACTAGGGAGTTAAAAGTGAGATTTGACCAAAATGATTTCTTTCAATGGATTCCCCGCTTTTCCTCAGGGGGCGGTTGCCTTTCGCGCAGCCAAAGAAAAGTGCGGGAGGGGAAAAATTTAGGTCGAGCCCGACCTCATCAACCCGAGATGCCTCCTCCTCCAGCCCCCCCCCGTAACTTGCAAGACCCTTGTGTCTCCCTGAGGCCCGATCCAATACACGCGCACGCTCAGACAGACCCCCGCGGACTCTTAATGAGACGCAGAAGTCTTGTGACATGTTTAAGACTAACCGATTGGTTTGGATCGGAACTTGCTAGATTACAGTTGCTTAAACGCAAGTGAAGGATCGCACCCTCCTAAAATATGGCGACACGAACCACCTGCGTCGGCCCTTCAGCCACGGAAGTCGGGGAGAAACGCCTGGTCCCTGGAT